GCTGCTCTTCAATTACAGGGAGTGGCTGTCCTGGGGATTGCCCTTATTGCCATGGGGGAGGAGATTGGTGCAGAGATGGCGCTGCGGACCTTCGGCCACTTGGTGAGTACAGCCTGAAAGATTGGACTACACTGATTTTGATGACCTGGGGCTTCGGAGAGACTTTCCTGATGGTTTTCCTTGGCTGGGAAGTAGCGTCTTTGCCGTGTGGTTTCCACACAACTTAAGGCCACCTCCTCCCCTCCATTCATGTGACTGAACTTTTTACTGCATCCCCTGCTGTTTTCTTGTATCCCCAGCTGAGGTACGGGGAGCCTACACTCCGGCGGGCTGTACCTTTGGCACTAGCCCTGATTTCTGTTTCCAATCCCCGACTCAACATCCTGGACACGCTGAGCAAATTCTCTCACGATGCTGACCCGGAGGTCTCCTATAACTCCATCTTTGCAATGGGCATGGTGGGCAGTGGTGAGTATTGGGCAGGAGAAGGTCACAGCCGACTGGGGAAGAGGAGGCCCTTCTCACGGCTCTGCAATGCTGGGTGTTTCCAGGTACCAACAACGCCCGCCTGGCTGCGATGCTCCGCCAGCTGGCTCAGTATCACGCCAAGGACCCCAACAACCTCTTCATGGTGCGCCTGGCACAGGTGAAGATTTCAGTCTTGTTAGAATGTGCCAAGGGAAGGGCCAGCAGGTGGCGTGGTGGTTAAGGGTGCTGGACTCCCACACGGCTGACTGGTGCTAGTCCCAGACCTGCCAGCTTGCTTTCTCACTTTCCCCCCATCTCTCTCTCTTCGTCCCTCTCACTCATCCTTCTCTGGTCAAATTAAAATAAATAATAAATAAGGTTAAATAAAAATAATCCTTAAAAAAAGGAAAAAAAAGAATGTGCCAAGGGAAACACCTATGGTGATGGGAGGGGCTGTGGGCTCTTGCTGGGGGAGGTAAGAGCACGCCATGGGGTTTCTGCTCTGTCGTGTTAGGGGAAATCTCAGATGTGACTCCTGCCTCCACTTGCCTCTTTTCAGGGCCTGACACACTTAGGGAAGGGCACGCTTACCCTCTGCCCGTACCACAGTGACCGGCAGCTCATGAGTCAAGTGGCTGTGGCTGGGCTGCTCACCGTGCTGGTCTCTTTCCTGGACGTCCGCAACAGTGAGTCCCTATGCACTCTGACGGTGCACGTGGTGCCCTGGCTCCACCCTGGTGGGGCCACCTGGTGACACGGGATCAAGACTCCATGCTACTCGGTACCACGCTGGGGTCCCGAGTTCCGTGGGCCTGTGATAGGCCTTGTGTAACTTTCACCTCCTGCTGTTGAGCCGGCCCAGTGAGATGTGAGGGTGATGTACCCCTGCTTGCTCCTAAGTGGGGAAACGTGATTTTCAAGTCCTAGGGTTGGGGCAGCGTGGGGCGTGGCATCTCTGGGTAGTAGTAAGGTATGAGGAGGAGCGCGGGTTCCATTGCATTATGGGGGTAGGGTTGGGGCTGAGGCGGGCTCCCAAGGTTCCGGCCACACCTGTCCTCCTGTCTCTAACCCGGTCCTGTGTGCTTCCCTCAGTCATTTTAGGCAAGTCGCACTATGTATTGTATGGGCTGGTGGCTGCCATGCAGCCCCGAATGCTCGTCACGTTCGATGAGGAGCTGCGGCCATTGCCAGTGTCTGTCCGTGTGGGCCAGGTGAGCGGAACCTGGAGGGAGGGCTCAGGATCGGAGAGTGCACAGAGCATCCATCCGGGCAGTGGGTTGTGGCTGCCCTCCTCTGAGTGCCTTCATCTGAATTGTCTCACCTACAGGCCGTGGATGTGGTGGGCCAGGCCGGCAAGCCGAAGACCATCACGGGGTTCCAGACACATACCACCCCCGTGTTGCTGGCCCATGGGGAACGGGCAGAATTGGCTACTGAGGAGTTTCTTCCTGTAACCCCCATTCTGGAAGGTTTTGTTATCCTTCGGAAGAACCCCAACTATGACCTCTAAGTGGACACCAGGGGCCCCAGCTTCCGATGGATCGGTGGGCAGTGCTTCGTGCTTCCAGGGGTGGGCACTGCTCCAGCCCTCGGGGGGATTCTTACCTCCTGTTCTTTTGTTACTGAGTGAGATAACTGTTGAATAAAGACCTTTATCTCCAATGTGTGCTTCCTGGGGCATCATGGTGGAGGCCAGCCTGGGGGTGGTCAGTGGAGAGGGCATTGTTTGGAGCAGCCCTGAGCTTAGGTTGCCCTGAATGGAAAAAAGAAGCTCCCTTTTCTTCCTCTCCTCCACCATCATCTTCTGTTTTCATTTTCTTAGGACCCTCGGGAAATAACGAATGTAATGGATCTTTCTGGGAGATGCACGCACACATTTTTGCGAACTCTTAGGCCTGACTTGCCAGAGACATTGTGGACCCCGGCCTGTACTCTCTTCCCTGTGTACTGGTTTATCCCCGAGTCCATCTTCTGACCTTCGCCTAAGGATGCCCGAGAGAGGGAATCCCCGTCTTTTCCTAATTCAGCTGTGTGCTACTAAATGAAAAGGACATCTTTTCCTCCTGTGACTCTGTCCCTCTTGAGAGGCTGTTCAGATTCGACCATATTAACATCTATTGGGCCATTGTAGAAATGACTGCAGAAAATTTTACTTCCTTTTCTTTTTTTTTTTTTTGTTTTTTACCATAGGATGTGCACTTGCCAGAGACGACAGTGAGAGGGAAGGTGAGGAATCGCCCCTCCCAGAGGGGACTGGCCATGCCACAGTCCCTTCTCCATCTTCCTCTTGGGATCTTGGGCACATACACATGTATACAGTGTGATTTTCTTTAATTTTTTAAAAAAGAATTACAAAGTTTACCATTTCTGTATGTATTTTAATTTAACCATAGAGGGACAGAGAGCAAGTTGGCCGTGTGGGAGGCCAGTGCCCTTTACCACCATGTCACCTGCCAGCCCTGTACCCTGCCTGATTTTCTAGCTGCCAGGTCAGAGACTCAAACCGGCCATATGGGAGTCCCCACACCTTCACCACTG